GTTCTCTGCCTTTAGTGTTAGTGAAAAGAGTGTGTAATTATATTAGTTAGAAAGTGCTCTATCTCCATGAGTCTGAGTCAGGGATCTACATGAATGTGCTACATTCTGTAAATTTCCACCGATCCTTTAGCGCAATATGCACACTACAAAACTGATTTACGATTAAAAACAGCCAGTCTCAATTTGCAACCTAAAAATTCCTAAAAATTTTTTTCTATGCCATGTGACTTATTGCATGTTGTTTCCTTTACAGCTGGAGTTCCTTCCTTGGTATTTTCCAATGGCAGAGACCTGCTAATTGGTGACATCCATGGCAACAGCCTGCGCACTTTGGTTCAATCACAGAACAGAGGGGTTACAGTGGGAGTGGACTTCCACTATAATCTCCATAGGATCTTCTGGACTGATACCATTCAGAATAAGGTATGTTTGAATCAGTGTCAGTGTTTTATTAACTCTGTTACCACTATGTAGGTTACAGGGCATGGGCCACCCCCAGAGCAGCCTGCCATGCTTGGGTAACTTTATGTGGAATAGTCCAGTAGAGTTCGGACTTTATAGACTGCACCTTGTCAGGACTGCATTCTTTTAGTTATCCTTTAAAATATCAGCAAAGTTGATACTTTAATAATGGGATGGTTGTTGGCTCTTTTGTGGCTGGGTCATAATGATGGGGAAGCACATGTGGAATGGAATCCAAATGGTGCCTAATCTTGAAACCGTCTGATAGGCTGGTATGATATTCACATACCAAGGTACAATTTTTGTAACTCAATCTTGTACAAAGTAATCATGCTGTATTTGTTTTCAGTGGCACTGTCCATTTATATACACGTTCTTTGGCCAGCTAGAAAGTCTTGGGTTCAGTTTATGCCTTGGCTTCTTAATGGTTTGAACTGCAGTCACTGGGCTGAAAAACTAGGACATATCTCTGACTGGGCATCTGTGTGTATCAGTCACCTCCATGGCAGCATGTCAGATTAAAAGTAGGGAGAGCACAAACAGGGCATGTGAATGCAGCCAGAAAGGTTAAACTGCCAAGCTATTTCCACATCTTCAGTTTCTCTTTAAACTGGTAAGTTGAAAATCCTTTTTTAAATGTCCGGATCTTGTTTCAAAAGAAGCAGACCTGCTAAGAGCAGGACACCCCTAACCAACTTCACGGTGCTCCGGATTTCAGTATGGTATCAGGTAGAGTCACGGTATCAGTAGAGTGGCGGGTTCAGAAAGTCACCAGGTTTCACAGAAGTATAACAAGGTACTATCATCGGACAAGCAAACAAATAATCTTTCTCTCTCTGCCTCTTCCTACTTATGCCAGTACCATCACAATCATGTCCGCTGACTGCCAGGGCCTACTCTTAATCTTATATTCTTTCAAGTCTACCTTAAAACAGTACTCATTTGCTGATTTGTAAAGTGAAAGAGAGTGGTCTGCTCTACTGTAAACATTTCTCCATATCATAATGGCAGTAAAAGATCTTCTTTTAAAAGCAGTTTTAGTTTAACTGATAGGGAACAAAACCTATGGCCCACTGATGCACCCTTTTGATTTGTCTAACTCAGACTGCTGATGCGTACTAATAGCAGCAGCTAAATTTATTTTCGAATCGATTTTAGGAGGGGATGTTTTGACAGCCAGTGTGGGCATTTGGTATAATTACAGCAATGAGCAGCAGTTTCAATGTATCTACAAGCATGTGAGTGTTGTATTAGGAACCACTTGATAAAATCTGAGCCTCTCTGTTTTCTCTTTATCTCTTGAAGCAGTGACCACCTAAGGGCTGATTTCCTGATAACAGTGGCATCTTTTTCAACAGGTGTTTTCAGTGGATATGGATGGCTCCAACATGCAGGTGGTTTTAAATGTATCAGTTGACCACCCTGAGAACTTGGCGGTGGACTGGGTGAACAATAAACTGTATGTGGTGGAGACCAGTGTCAACAGGATTGATATGGTGGACCTTGATGGAAGTAACAGGGTCACGCTCATCACTGAAAACCTCGGAAACCCTAGAGGTTTGGCGTTGGACCCCACTGTCGGGTACGCACCTCTCCCAGTTTTAATCCATTCGTCTGTCCACATATTCTCGGTTCCCACATACAGTGTCTGTCATGCTTCATTGGCATGGAATAATGTTGTGCGTGTGTGTGTGAGATTAGCAAATTGTCCTGGGTGGATTAGTGAGGGTCATCTAAGCAATGACCCTTATTGTAATCTAATAGTGTAGTTCAAAGGGGGAGGAGAACCAGGTGTCTACAGAAAAATGCATATCGTAAGTTAATGTACAGCTCTTTGGTGAGATGCACAGCCATCCACATCGGGACATAATGTGATGCTGTGGATATCAGACTTAGTTAAAAAGAGGAAAGTCTTGTGTGTTTTATTATGCGTAATGATATTTTTTGTGCCTAGTAGTACATAGCGGCCCTCATGTTATGATCCCACCGTAGAGAAACCTGGCAGATGAATCATTTCCCCCTTCTGTCACAGGTATATGTTCTTCACAGACCGGGAGGCACTGAATGGGCAACCAAGCCTGGAGCGAGCCTTCATGGATGGTACCAACCGTTATGGGATTATTAGGAGTAAACTGGGCTGGCCAGCCGGTGTCACATTGGACATCAAGGCTAAGCGCGTGTACTGGGTTGACTGTCGCTATGACTACATTGAAACTGTAACATATGATGGCCTTCATAGGTAAATATGTCGTATGTTACTCTTAAAAAAGAATGCATCTTAAAAATGTTTTGATTATCTGCTACAAGCATTAAAGCTAATCTATAATAGTTCTCTAGGGGTAAACAAGTAAAATGATTCATGTATTTATAATCTAATAAATCGATATTCTCAACATTTTTTAAATAGAAAAACAGTAGTGCACGGCGGAACTGCGATTCCACACCCATTTGGCATCAGTCTGTTTGAGCACCATGTCTATTTCACGGACTGGACCAGGTTGGCTGTGATGAAAGCCAACAAGTTCACCGAGACCAGTCCTCAAGTGGTTTATAGCACATCTCAGACTCCATATGGAGTAGCAGTGATACATCAGCTGAAACAGCCACATGGTAAACCCCACTGAGCCAAATTAGTCTTTTTCAAAGTGGCTCCAATTCAGCTCATTTCTCACTTACTGTAATAAATAAATAAATCTCTAATTTATCTCATATGTGTCTGCCACTTACTGGGAATTTTCTTAATGTTTCCAGTGTCAAACCCTTGTAATGTAGACAGATGTGAGCAGATCTGTGTTCTGAGTCACAGGAGTGACAATGGAGGGCTGGGTTATCGTTGTAAATGTCGCCTGGGCTATGACCTACATGCTGATGGCAAGCATTGTGTAGGTAAGACAGCATTTCTCTTGTTTCTCTTTCTTGAACAGTGTAAAATTATGATGACTACCATCACAGGTTTGGGCCTTTAATCTTTCCTGTTTTTTAACAATATTTTTGTGAGGATGAATATTTTTGGCAGGAATAGCTGTTGTTTCCTAAGGTCTTGTGATTTCCTTTGTACAGCTGTGAGGCAGTTTCTGCTGTTCTCTAGCCAGCTAGCCGTGAGAGGGATCCCCTTTAACCTCTCCACTCAGGAAGACATCATCCTGCCCATCACTGGATCACCCTCCTACTTTGTTGGGGTGGATTTTAGTGCTGAAGATGATGCTATCTTCTTCTCTGACACAGCCAAACATATTATCTACAAACAGAAAGTGGATGGGACAGGTGAGCATTGTGTCTCTTGTTACTGCTAAGAATAACCTAATTACTGTAGACATTCACATAACAATGCCAAAATGCTACTGCTTGTGGAGCATGAAAAACTATCAAATGATGTACTGTATTTCCACAGTCTTCTCTGTGATAGCATCCCTTGATAATTTATTTTCTAGCAGAGAGCTCTACCATGTGACTCAGCCAGGCTTATACAGGGTCAGTTAAGGGAGTGCCTGATGGGGCCGACTGGTACTACGAGGGAAGGAATGACAGGAGTATAGGCAGTGGAAATGGATCACACAATCAACTTACATTTGAAAACTAATCTTCTGAAAATGAGTAGTAAAGACTAATCACCAATGTTTTACCAAGCAGTCTCGATAGTTTCAAAACTATAACTTAAGCTGTGGGAAGTAGTTACTAATGTGATAATCCACAAGCAGTGGCACCATGCAAACAAAAGAAACACCACTGCACTGATCGCTGATGCTGTATTCGGAGCTGCTACAGCTCTTTCTGTCCAGTCTACATGGGGAAAATGCAAGCTGACAGCCTATTTATTTAAATGCGTTTCTCTTTCATCTTCGTGTTGAATGGTGGTGTGACTGCTCTGGTCTGCACAGGCAGGGAGGTTTTGGCAGCCAATAGAGTGGATGGAGTGGAGGACCTGGCTTATGACTGGATATCTAAAAACCTTTACTGGACTGACCCACGATACAGGAGCATATCTGTCATGAAGCTAGCTGACAAGTCCAGGAGAGCCATCATACGTAACCTCAACAACCCTAGGGCCATTGTGGTGCATCCTCTCATTGGGTAAATCAGTATAAAACTGGGAATTATTGGCATTTTGCACCTGTTTCCGTAAAATAATTATTGAGATATTGCTTTTTTATGTTTATGGGATTGAGTAAGATTTAGACTTTGCTAAATCATGGCTATGTTGCTGTATAAGGCAGTATTCCAGTTTATTTTACCATGATGCCGCTCCAATATTTCTGAAAGCCAGTTTATACCACATTTTAATGAGTAAAATAAAGTTTAGAATATTTAAATGGTTTACAAGATGTTATTATAGTAAATTTATGTATATATACAGTAAATGTAAACTAGAACAAAGATGTTATTGCTACTGTAGAACTTTCTAGAATGTGTGCTCAGATTATTACATGATAAAAGGAATCCTTGCTTAGAACAAGCTGTTGTTTCTAGTAACCTCAAAGTCATAAGGCCTCTGTGTCCAACAGCTGAGATTAGTTCGTCATGAAGGGCAGTATTGTTATGAACACGTTGGCTTAAAAGTGAAAGACTCTCTGAGGTGGAAATAAAATCTGAATAAATAGGTTTTTTTTCACCATGATAGGGCTGCAGAGTTGATACAGTTTTGAATGAAATATGGCTTAGATCCACGTTGTTTATTTTCCTTTGCCAGGTATATTTTCTGGACTGACTGGTATCGGCCTGCGAAAATTATGAGGGCTTGGGGTGATGGGTCACATTCCCTGTCTATTGTAAACACTACTCTTGGCTGGCCAAATGGCCTGGCTATTGACTGGAGGTGAGCCAAAAGTCTTACAATCACGCACCCAAACAAAGAAACAAACAGTCCTACGACACACTATTTCATCTAGTTAATTACAGTTAAGATTGATGTAATGTTTCATTTTTTTACCCATAATTTACAGCTGTTTTAACAATGATCTTATTTGATCCCTCACTTGACAGTTTTTGTGTGATTGTGTTTTACTTTATCCTCGTGTTTCTCTGCTTTCATCTTCACCCAGCTCAATGCGTCTGTACTGGGTGGATGCCTTCTTTGACAAAATTGAGCACAGCAGTTTTGATGGAAGGAACAGGCTTACTTTGGACCGCATAACTCAGATGTCTCATCCATTCGGTCTCACCATTTTTGAAGGTAGCCCTTTCTTTTTTTTGGCATGAAGAACAAGCTGTCTATACAGTTCTACTACTGGACAGTGTATATGTTCTAAATAAAGAGGGAGTTCAGTGCACTAGCACAGACTTTCTGTTGAGTCTAAACTATGGCTCGTCAGTCTTGCCTTAATGAATGTCATATCAAATGAGTAATTACTGTTACTAGGAGGTGATGAAAGACAAAATATCTGAGGCTGTGCTCTGTCCCATGAAGGCTATGCATATTTCACTGACTGGCGCCTTGGTGGCATTGTACGTGTGCGCAAGACTGATGGTGGGGAGATGCTTGTTATCAGAAGAGGAATCAGCCACATCATGCATGTCAAGTCTTTTTACTCCAACTCTCAGACTGGTCAGTAGCTTTATTCATTGCTCTTCTCTCTTGGCTGTCCATGCGCAGCTGCAGCGCACACTTGTCAGTCATATTGCTGGTAATTACCCTCCACTACCCTTCTCAGGTTCCAACCTCTGCAACAGGCCAGCAAATCCTAATGGAGACTGCAGCCACTTCTGCTTCCCAGCGCCAGACTCGCAGAGGGTGTGCGGCTGCCCGTATGGCATGAAGCTGTCACCCAACCAGCGGACATGTGTGGAGGACCCTTCCAGTGAGCCCCCCACACTGCAGTGTGGAGCCAACTCCTTCTCCTGTGGCAACGGCAAATGTGTCCCAAACACCTACAGATGTGACGGTGTTGACGACTGCCATGACAACAGTGATGAAGTCAACTGTGGAATTAACAGTAATGCTTTTGTTATAAATTCAGTTTATTATACCAGCTCAACCTGACCAGACTATAAAATCAGCTCCATGTCCTGTTGTTTTTTAATGCAGTTCAGTATTTTAATATTTAATCAAGACCATCACCACTTGTTTCAGACACCACTTGCTCGCCCACTGCATTCCCCTGTGCCAATCAGCACTGTGTACCTATGGGATGGCGCTGTGATGGGCAAAATGACTGTTTTGATAACAGTGATGAAAACAATTGCCCCGTGCAAGTACCTGGAACGTGCCCTGCCAATATGTTTACTTGTGCCAACCACCGCTGCATCCCACATGTCTGGCTTTGCGACACAGATAATGACTGTGGGGACGGTTCAGATGAAATTGACTGTGGTGAGTGCTCCTATTTAGGGTTTCAACTTAAAATTGCTAGCATTTGCTTAGGGTGCTGTTTTGTTTTTGTTGTTGTTTTCATTGTAAACAGAAAACTGGCAGAGTTAGGGCAAAAAGTACAGTAGCTCATATTCATTACAGTGGTAGGAGACAAATGTGGCGGAGAATAAACACAGTTAATGGAAAACAAATACTGAAAAAAGATCAGTAAACAAAATATTAAATATCTAAAGAGGAGTTTAATATGCCTTGTAGGAAATTTAATGCAGTTTTTGACAAAGTGATAAGTGAACCTATTTGTGTTTAATTAGAAAAACATACAGATGAAAGCTGGTCAGTAGTCACATAGTAACATTAATTAGATTAATACTGAAGCATGATTTTTGTTTCTATAAAAATGTAACTAATGCCTGTGCAATTTTCTATTTATTGGCCAGGAAAGGCCAATAAATTAGCTCATATGCTAAGGTTCATTTTCTTGTCTAACAATTTGTGTTGACAGACTTGGGAAACACATGCCAACCAGGACAGTTCCAGTGTCCAGACCACCGCTGTATAGATCCCGACTATGTTTGTGATGGGGACCGGGACTGTGTGGACGGGGCAGACGAGCAGGGATGCAGTAAGCGTCTTCTAGATCCTCCCTGGACATGCATATAGTTTCTGGTCGCATCTGGTGCTTACTTATCATCAAGTGTATTGTGTACTGAATAAAATCTATTTCATTTAATTCTGTTTGCATTGATATAACTTACTGATACTGCACCAGATTTCATGACCATGTAGACTTTCCTATGACATTATTATAAACCTGCTTCAGCCTAGCTTTTCATTGTGCCATACAATATTGGAGGTTGGAGCTTTATCTGCCATTTCCAAATAAGGAATCAGTTAATTTGTTCAGCCATTCATGCATTCATCAACACTATAAGCATGCTCAAAATTTAAGTGCAAATGAATAAAATGTATTGATCTCATTATGTGTTAGCATAGCAGTGGAGCTCAGTATATACATGATTGCAGAAATAATGAATATCAGTGTTAACATACTCAGCTGGATTTTTCAGTCTACAACTGCACCGTGAATGAGTTCAAGTGCTCCAGTGGTCACCAGTGTGTCAACTTGTACTACCGATGTGATGGAGTCTCTGACTGCAGTGATCGCTCAGATGAACAAGGGTGTCGTAAGTTATACAGTATTACTGAAGCATTATTCGCACCATAATTATATACAAAAGTGCTAATATAGTTTCATTTTTATTAAGTTTGGACTGGTCTAATATGCAGTTTGTGGTGTTTCCTAATGAATGTATTTCAGCCACCAGGCCCCCAGGAATGTGCCACCATGAGAGCGAGTTCCAGTGCCAGTCAGATGGGAGCTGTGTCCCGTCTATCTGGGAGTGTGACGGTCATCCAGACTGCGAGGACGGCAGTGATGAACACCACGCCTGCCCACCTCACACCTGCCCTTCCACACACTTTCGCTGTAACAATGGAAACTGTGTGTTACGCAGCTGGCTTTGCGACGGGGAGAATGACTGCAGGGACATGAGTGACGAACAAGACTGTCCCACGCCACCTTTCCAGTGTCCAAGCTGGCAGTGGCAATGCCCTGGCCACAGTGTGTGCATCAACCTTACCACAGTGTGTGACAACACTCCTGACTGCCCCAATGGTGCTGACGAGTCTCCCCTTTGCAGTAAGTTTACTCTTGTCATCTAAGTCAGCACGGAACATGTTCTTTGTTTATCAGAAAGACTTGATTATTTTATTACATTACCAAGTTTTCTGTTTTTGTCAAATTCTATTACATTTTCATATCACATGACAAATAAGCTCAAACTCTCAAATGATTTTTGTTTAATTTGACATTGTTATAGATGTTGTACTCTACTGCACAAATAAGAGAGGCTTTATTTCACAGAAATTTTGTGTTGAATTTTATCTGTTTGTCTTTGAATTCTTGTTTTAAAATCATGCATGTGACTGATTTGACCTGTATTAACCTGAAAATGGTCTGTGATTTTCCTTTCTTACCTTTCTCACAACCTTCAGATGAACATTTGCCAGGTAGGAAAAAACTCTGTCGTTGGTAGAAATGCTGTAGTTCAGATTCATTTTTCAACATAAATAATATCTCATTGTTCATTATCATTACACTACAGTGTGTATATTAATGATATACCTGTTTGTTTTGTATGTGTTATCATTTATGGATTTAATTTCTATTTTCAGATCAGGAGAGCTGTTCTGACAACAATGCTGGCTGCACCCATGGATGTATCCAAGGGCCGTTTGGGGCCCAGTGCACATGCCCTCTGGGTTATCAACTGAGCAATGACTCCAAAACCTGTGAGGATATAGATGAGTGTAATCCTCCAGGACTTTGTAGCCAGCACTGCATTAATGAAAGAGGCTCTTTCCGCTGCCACTGCCAGGATGGCTACACTCTCGAAGCAGACCAGCGTACCTGCAAGGCCTCAGGTGAGGAGGGATATGACTTAAATCTTATGTGCAGGGAACATATTGCACATGTAGTAGTTGTAAATAGCAACTCATAATGCAGTAAACTAGGAAACATTATCAGTTCTGCAGTGATTTGGATGTCAACATGACTTGTCTTGACAGCACATGTCTGAGTTTTCTCTGCTGTGCTGGCTCTTGGGCTGGAATGAACGATCATAAAAGGGGAGCTTTGCCCCTGACTGTAAGGTTGACACAGTTTCTACCCTGCTTCTCTTTGCTGCTCTGATTTCTTTGGATAAGACAAATAACATATATGTCACTCACTGGCCATCACCGGTATAATTAGGACATAATTACCAACAAAGGGCCGTTTAGGGGAGTGTGCCTGACATGAGCTCCTCTTCCACACAGATAACCCGCTGAAAGACTTTGCAATACAATAGGTCATTATTTGGACAAAAGTGCATTCCCCAAGGATTGGTATTTGAGTAGAGTCTATTCAACAGTTCTGTTGTATATGTGTGGTAGACTTACTAAAACTGATAAGTGCTCTGCTTAGCATAAGAATGGAAATGAAAAATAGGTGAAAGAGATTTGATGTCTGCTTACAGATTCTCGCCAGGCCTTCTTACTCGTGGCCAGTCGAAATCAGATTGTGCAAGATGACATAACCTCTCATCCCAACGTGGTCCGTTCACTGGTTCGAGACGGACGCAACATTGTGGCTTTAGATTTTGACTGGGTCACTGACCGTATCTACTGGTCCGATACCAGCCAGGACAAAATCTGGAGCGCTCACAAAAATGGCACCGATAGAACTGTGGTGAGTTTGATTTTATTTCCTTTAGTCACCACATATTGGATTAAATATTTTTTGGTCATTTATGTATATATATAGTCTGAGGTTTACATGCAGTGGCATCACCTGTAATTATATTTAACTGAGGATGAATCTCTTGTGGGCAGATATTTGATAGTGGAGTTACTGTGACAGAGAGCCTTGCTGTGGACTGGGTGGGCAGGAACCTTTACTGGACTGACTATATATTGGAGACTATTGAAGTGTCTAAACTGGACGGCACCCACAGGAGTGTGTTAGTTAGCGAAAACGTTACCAACCCCCGAGGTCTTGTGCTGGACCCAAGGAACCGGTCAGTAACATCCAGAGAACCAAGTTTGTTTTAAATCTGTGTGTTTCAGAATATGCGTTACAGTTTTTCTATCAACGTGGTAAAAGTAGACCCCTTGTTTTGCAGCGTTCATCTAATGTTCTGGACTGACTGGGGCAGGAACCCACGCATTGAGAAGGCCAGCATGGATGGAAAATTGAGGACTGTTATTGTAAGCAACAAGCTGTACTGGCCCAACGGTCTAACTATAGACTACCCTAACAATTTGTTATACTTCGCTGATGCCTACTTGGATTTCATTGACTACTGCGATTATAACGGTAACAACAGAAAGCAAGTTCTGGCCAGTGACCTGGTGAGTGTATAAGACGTTTATTGAATTATCTCTACAGATCTTATTTATGTTAACAATCTAAAATTGAACAAAACAACTTCCTTTGGAATAGTAAATGTAAGAGACTTTTTTTTTCTTTTGCTGCTCTCTATGAAAAGGTACTGCAACATCCCCACGCAATTACCATTTTTGAGGATTTTGTGTATTGGACCGACAGATACATCAACCGTGTGATACGAGCTCATAAGTGGCACGGGGAGAACCAAACAGTGATGCTGTACAACCTCCCTCAACCCATGGGTCTGGTGGCAGTGCACCCAGCCAGACAACCAGCAGGTAGGGCCAAGATAATGAACATAAATCAATCTGGAAACTAGCTGAATTAGTAGTTCTTGTATATTAATAATGTTACTAATATACAGCAAATACATAATCCTAGAGAGCCTGTGAAGATTTTTCTGTTGACTCTTTGTGTGTGTGTGACAATTTCAGGTGAAAACCATTGCTTGAGGAGCCCCTGTACGCACATCTGCCTGCTTTCTGCTGTGGGACCAAGGTATTACTCGTGTGCCTGCCCCTCAGGCTGGACACTGGCATCAGACCAAATCACCTGTGCCAGAGGTATGCACCCTGCCAAATGAAGGAAAACCCTCATCACTCAGTCTGATGAAAAAGAAAGTCAGGTCAGATGCAGCTGATAAGCTGATGTACTCCTAAGGTATTCATCATTGTTTTTAAAGCAAGCCTGTTACTGTAGAAGTGGTGGTTCTTGCACACTTTATTTGCAGCAATGTTGGTAAGAAGTGAAATCTTTGAAAATGCTAAACCGGTATTATAGAATGATCCTGGTCCTTGTCAACAGTCTCCCATTGAGTTTCTCTTATAAACTGCTGCTCTGGTCATAAATATAAAGAATCATATAAGCATGCCTTTCACGGTCTTAAGAAGACAAGAGACCTTTAATTAAGTCCAAGGAGTCCCTCTTAGGTCAACAGCTTAACTCATCTCAGGTTTCAGCCCATTCAAGCCAAGCAGAACACAGCCTCCCCTGAGGCCAGCAATTATCTAAAGAATAAAAATGCCCCATGACCATTCATCGAGTCTCATCTCTGATGACAAAGCAAATCAGATTGTGGTACCAACTTTCACCCGTCAGCCCTCTTTATAGATAAAGTATCATTAGCCTGGGATTCCTATTTGAACAAGATATTAGTTTTGGATGGCCACTGGCCAACTCTGCATCTACAAACCATCCATTCCTTGCATTTTAAAGTATTGAGCAATTCATAGCCCTGAGAAAAATTCAAGTTCTAGTGTAGGAGTATTTTGTTTAAAAATTAAAAGACACAATGGTGTAGCTTTTGTTTTTATTTATTTGTTGGTATACTGTAGGTAGAACAGTTTGTAATTTTAGTCACTGATTATTGACTGCTTTTGCACTTGTTTTTCTTACAGTTGAGGATCCCTTCCTGGTTGTTGTGAGAGACAGCATCATCTATGGCATTTCTTTGAACCCAGATGACAAGAGTAACGATGCTATGGTCCCTGTTGCCGGTCTTCTTAATGGCTATGATGTTGACTTTGATGATGCTGAACAGACCATCTACTGGGTGGAGCACCCAGTAAGTTGCTGTCCAAAGACACTTTCCAGTTTCCTAGTTCTTCATGTTTTCCCAGCATGCTATGGTAAACAGGAACCTCATGTGTTGCACAGAGACTTAGGTATACAAGAGACATACTGTACAAAACTTGGTTGTCCTATCTGAAAACAGTAACTGTAAAATACATTAAAAACACAACACAAGATTCATTCTATGTACATTCTCACATTCATCAGGGGTTGAAATTAAACGGTCTTCTTTTATCCACCAGGGTGAGATCCACAGGGTGAAGTCGGATGGTAGTAACAGGACAGAGTTTGCACCTGCAGCCATCTTGGGCTCCCCTGTCGGCCTGGCTTTGGACTGGATAACAGAGAACCTGTATTACACTAATCCAGCCACACAGTCTGTTGAGGTGAGAAAATAGTACTTTTCCCTGTTGTTGTCGTTAATAGGAAAAAAATGGGAATTAAGTGCAAACAAAGGCATAAAACAGCTACACAGTACAATAAACACACCTGTTTGTGTTTGTACCCAGGTTTTAAAGTTGAGAGGGGAGATACAGTACAGGAAA